AGAACTGTATATCTTCAATTAATGGGGTAATGATAGTCAGCCTGAAGATAAGAAGCAAATGTCCACATACGGTACCGTACGTCGAGGGAAATTGTTTTGCCTGTCTTTACGGGTAACTATTAATTACTTATCGGATGTTACAAGTACAATTGTCCCTAGTAAAATCAGTATATTTTGATAGAAAATCAAGGCTTTTTGGGCTGCATTTATGCAGTTGTAATCCTAGGAATTCCAACTTAGGCATTTACTAATTCCGTCAACAATTTCACCTTCCTTCTAACACAGTCTTTTAATCATGTTTGCGGAGAACTTACCACTGACGTAATCTTGATTGGTGGATTTCCTAGCGGATTTTACGATCGGAGGTTTTCTTGTTTCACAATCAGAGGTTTCCTTATTTATCGTAAATCCTTCAAAACTGTCAGTTGTCTTACTGACTTTACTCAGTGGTATTCAGGTTCTTGGTAAACTCTGAGCCATATGAAATATCTTTGTTATTCCTGGAATTACCATAGGCCGTAGTAATTACTCATTACTATGTTAGAGACTCTACTACGTGGGTATCGCCCCTCAATAGGCTTTTCGTCGAACTGAGATGTAATAACGAGCTTCTTCTCAAAAGGTCTATAGAGGAAAATCGAAGCGTGAAGTTCAAGCCTCCCCTAGTTATTTTTAGAGCTGCCAACTTTTACATTTCTCGTTCATTCCATAGATATTTCACGATTTGTCTTTGCCTCTGCACAGATTTCCTACAGCCTTTCGTTTTAAGGGGGAAAATGGAGATTTCTGCCGTCGTACTTACTCAGTACTGTGTAGTCTCAGAAATATCCATTTTTATTATTATTGGTGTGTTTGGTAATTTACAATTGCTTTGGACGACTTATCGCAAGCCAGTGGCACAGACTAAATCAGGTATACCGCATGAAAAAAGTTGTATTATATTATCAATATCAAATACATATGCATTGTAAAATTTGTCAAAAGGGCAATTTATTGGACCGTATGTAGGGAGTGGTATAGACGTGGCCTAAATACTGAGAATTTCTCGGCAAGGGCTGGTCTTTCTGAGGTATCTATTAGGTTGATGTATGATTATTGCGGGTTTTTTGTCTGCAAATTTTGCCTAGAGAAACGATAGAAATATTTAGCAAATACATGTCAAATAATTACTCCGAAACGTATCAGCCATCTACGTCAAGCACGGTTCCCCATTTGCTGGGCAATCGGATTTCACAGGCGGAGAAGTTCCAATTCGTGGAGGCGACCCAAGTCTTGACGTCGGCCATCAAGTCGTCCACTTCGTCGAAAGTTCTGTTCGTTAGCTAATTTCTCAACGGACGATTGGCGCGATAAACCAGAGGGGTTTTTGTTGGTGAATAGGGCGGAAGTAGAAGCAGATGCTATCCTATCCCTTATTCGGCTTTGGATGACTGTTCCATCGTCGAGAAGTTCGTTGAGATCACTTTATAACTGTGCCACCTTCCATCTCTCTCGAAGTAATAGGGCATAATGTGGCATATATGAAGATGACTTCCTAGACATATTTCTGTTAAGGAAAGTGAGAAGATTATTTCTCTCGAATCCCGAATTCAATATTCAAATTATATCGAGTAAAAGGAAGCAGCGAAAAAATCCACAATAATTATGCATCAACCTAATAGTTTTAAACGAATAATAGAAGTGATAGGCAGATACACAGTACAAAAGATGCGAGGAAAACGCGAAGACCGGCACGTTCAGAAGGATATAAGGCTCTATAAAAGTAGAAAAATCAGGGGTTGGACGACAGAATGTGAAGAAAATAGTTGCATGGAAGGAGCGTCGGACGAGCTGTCCAAGTGTGTGTGCCATCGCGTACAGCTGGCTACAGTAAGCTGCCTGTGTGCAATAAGGGAACTTGAAGTGGATATGGGTACATACGTGCGGCCGAGGATGCGCGCGGCAAATTTCGCGGTGAAGTTCGTGACAATTTGTACGATTCTGACGTCAATTTTCGGGACACAAACTCGAAGTAGAGTAGTTTAGTATGGTGAGATGATCCTACTAATCTATGCTACTTCAAATTTGAGCCCAAATAGTAGGCGCCAGAGTCGTTCGAATCGTGGTGAATTTCGTCGCGCACTTTGCCGCGTGTATCTCCTGACGCACCCATTTACCCATACCCATGTGTAACGTGAGTTCCCGTTACGAATGGTGCAACCTCTATAGCCTCTAGCGCCTGAGGGGGGACGCACGATTCGTGCGATTCCGGGTGCGTGCGGCAAATTGCGCGGCGGAATTTGTGATGATTCGAACGACTCTGACGCCTACTATTGGAGCACAAACTCGAAGTAGAGTAGATTAGTAGGATCAGCTGACCATACCCAATTATTCCACTTCAAGTTTGTACCCCAATAATAGGCGTCAGCGTCGTTCGAATCGCACCGAATTTCGCCGCGCAATTTGCCGCGCGGACTCAGAATCGCACGAATCGGCGCACACCCGCGCCTGAGAAATCGTTTGCTATGGGTGTGTACGTTGGATAAGTTAATCTTGGACCCTCACTGCACCCTATCTTGACCGTTTTTCGATCCGCCAGCGTTCCTTGTGCTATCTTTAGGGGTCACAGATTCTTTCCAGAGAGAAGTATCAGAAACGTCTCATGGTGAGCTGGGCCTTTGATTGCATTTCATTGGGAACGACGGCGGCAAGTTTGTAAAAGTAGAAATAAAAGTCTGGTGTGGATTGGATTGGAGTGGTTGGGCTGGGTGGGTATCTAGCCGGGCCTCGATCCCCGAACCGCCTGTGTGTGATGGTAAGAACTGATCATAAAAATTAATAAAACAAAAGATACAGTTGAAAATTCATTCAAAAATCAAATGATAATGCTCATTTTAGGTATTCTTCTTGCAGTGACTGCTTTCTATCATACGGTATGTTTGCTATCTGAAATAGTGAACGCAGTCTTTATTATAACCGGTCGACCACTAACTAGACGTATCTGTTACTCATTTATTGTATTCTATATCTTTGCCATGTGTCAACAAGCTCTGATGACTTTAATGATTTCTATTGATTTATTGATCGCTCTCATATTTCCTATATGGTGCGGTAATCCTATTTTGCAACTGACTTATATCTTTTTTTTTACAGGCCACACTTCAACGTGGCATCGAAAATTTTACTTTACCCCTTGGTACTTTTAAGGTATCGAGTGCTTCCCAGAAATCAATATATTTGCGTTTTCGTCGTCGTGTGCACATCGTATGCTCTTCCGATTTCTGTGTGGGGATGGATGGCTCGAGATGATGAAGTCATTCCTTTCTGCAATCCTCCGTTGGGTAATCAATTCTAACGTCGAATTGCTGATAATTATTTGATTTAGAAAAACTGTCAATTCTTATGTCGAATTGCTGATAACTATTTGCTTTAGAAAAACTGATTTTAGCAAAAGTCATGAGAAGGTAAGAGATGATACCAGAGGTTGGTGCGACTCCAAGTACTTGATATTTCTTTCCGCTGGCTCAAAATGATATGTCAAAAACGAGAAAAATAAAGAAATCTACAGCATTTTCAAAACATGGGATCTCTCATGGAAAAGTTTGTTTTTGAGAATGGACGAGGTTACGAAGACAAACGCTACGCTTGGAGGAAGGTGGACGAGTCTATCGTTGGGGCTCAAATTCGAAGTAGAGTAGGTGAGAAGGATCATTTTACCCGGGTATGGGTACTTACGTACGTCCGAGGATGCGCGCGGCGAAGTGCGTGGTGATTCGAACGACTCTGGGGCCCATCATTGCGGCCCAAACTCGAAGTAGAGTAGTTGAGTAGGGTCAGCTGATAATACTAATCTACTCTACTTCAAATTTGAACCCAATGATAGGCGCCAGAGTCGTTCGAATCCCCNCTATCGTTGGGGCTCAAATTCGAAGTAGAGTAGGTGAGAAGGATCATTTTACCCGGGTATGGGTATTTACGTACGTCCGAGGATGCGCGCGGCAAGTGCGTGGTGATTCGAACGACTCTGGGGCCCATCATTGCGGCCCAAACTCGAAGTAGAGTAGTTGAGTAGGGTCAGCTGATAATACTAATCTACTCTACTTCAAATTTGAACCCAATGATAGGCGCCAGAGTCGTTCGAATCCCCACGCACTTCGCCACGTAATTTGCCGCGCGCATCCTCGGACGCACGTAAGTTCCGTCCCCCATCTTACCCTACTAAACTGCTCTACTTCGAGTTTTTGCCCCAAAAATTGGCGTCAGAATCGTACAAATCGTCACGAACTTCACCGCGAAATTTGCCGCGCGCACCCAGAATCTCGCCACACACCCTTGTAGTAGATATCAGTCACTGCAGGGTAGCATCTGTTAGCCGTTAACGTACACCAGTTTACTGTAGTTTCAACAAACATGCTCCATTCCGTGTGATGTCAGCCCGTGCGAGACTGCAAAACGCGTCCATTTTTGGAGCCTTCAGCAGCGAAGGACGTAAAAACCGGTTTTTGGGCATTTTTTTGTACCTACCTATGCCGCTTTACGGTCGACATCGCTCCATGCTGCCCATTTCAGGGGCCGCAGATTTCCACTGTCGAGTATTTCCGGAACTATTTTCATTGCGAACTGTGCATTTAAGTAATAATCTTCAACAAGTGAACAACATTAAAAGAGTGGCGAAGCAGGTCTTCAGAGTGTTGTCTCAGGGTTCCTGCAGGAGTTTTCTACAAACTTTCCAAAAATTCATCGGCCCCAAACTTGGTACTTCTTAGTAAATGGGTCTTCGAAAAGAGGCTAGATCTGTGAAGCGAAAGTATTTAGTCAATATATCTTTTCATCAGGGAATCGTTTATATTCAGTGTAATTCAATTTTTAATATCTTCAGGACTTGCACCATCTGCCACTCGCGTCTTAATTGTATCAAGCAATACTATAAGTTGTTTTGTCATCATCGTATACACTGCTATTATTGTATTCGTTAGAACACAAGGTTCGTCTTTGACGATTACTTGAGACAGATCAGCCTTTGGAACTATTGTAAAACTGTGTGGTAAAGTACCCTTCGGTTGTTCGTCGGCTCTTTAGACCTAGGTGAACAAATCCACCTCTTTCTCAAGATCCTTCCTAAAACCGGAAAACCGTTCACAAAACCAAGGAATTTATCCACTTCTTCGTAATTACTTACAAACAGAAAAACATTTTTTTTGAAAAGCAAACACTTGCAGAAGCGAAGATAATCAACAGTCAGCGTGGTAGAAGATAAAAGTCACTCTATGTATGTAGTAAAAAGCTGGAAGCGCTCATTTCAACGGCTTAAGAATTTTTTTACGCTACAATTCCCATCGATCTGCGGGATATCGATCGGCAGCGTCGAAGCTAGCACAGCGTCCCACGCCAACGCCTGCATCGGCCTCAATAATACTATAAACGCAGCCTTTCTTGTTTCACAACAAGTTCAAGATAGAATTTTGCAGGTAAATCAGTGTCATGTAGAAGTAATCGTCAAATAATTCGACGAATCAGTGTCATCCTGCTCATCTTTATTTGTTCGTGGTTCGCTAGCACCGTTGGAATGAATGTATTGCAAGTATTCGGCTTCTCAAACCAAACAGTGTCTCTATGCCAAAGTCACTTTGTAAGTTTACTAGGCAGGTAAATTGTAGAAAAGATCAACTGTGAACAAACCAATCTTTTTTACGGTACATGGAGTCGTGGAATCGTAATAATAAAGGATCCAGATTAAAATAGATACGCATACTACATGTTACATGTGGATCTCCTAGCTATAAGAAGCAGTCTAGAATGTTCGATCGAAGCGGTAGTGGTAACTTCTCCCCGAAAGTCGCGTCGCGCTTGTCGCATCCGATCGCGCGTAGTCGCTGTGAAGGGGAAAGTTTGAATTTCTAGTGTAACAATAGCCGCCGCAAGATCATTGCAGCTCACCATGGGAAATCGGGGATAAGTACCACCCCCTGGATGAAGCGGCCATGTTGTTCTTTGGTGAACCTCCTCCAAACTTCAGAAAACTAAATTTGTCGATAAATCGAGAGCTTTTTGGAGATCTCCTTCTCTCCCTCCCCTCCTCCTCTCACCCAGTACCTTATTCATGGGTAACATCGGTAATTTCATTGCCCATTGATTCCAAGTAAAGTGCTTAGTGAAAGGCGCAAAGAAAAAAGAGCTTATCCCATAAATCTCGTTTCAAGTGATAACTTTCAGGTCTTCTTCTCATTGATCTGCTATTCACAAACATTCTATGTGTGTATTTGGCGTTCTACGGAATATCGTTCAGCCTTCAAGGAACAGTTACGGATTATGTTTTGTAGGAAATCTCAGCCATACTCTAATGCCGTTGGGATTCAAAATCCACCTCTTTTCACAATCTCGTCTAACAGCCGATCACGTTCTCTACACTAGACATACAGCAGCAACGTTTCTGGAAAACTGTTTTTTGAACCGGTTGATTCATTTGTTTGGATTTTCTGAGATTTTTCAAAAATAAACTTCATCACTTTCAAGAGACACTGACTTTCGAAACTCACAATGACATCAGAACTAATAATTCTTGAAATTAAAAAGCACCAATAAATTTACGTGTTGACATGCCGACAGATGATTTATTCAACTGAATGAGATTAAATAGACAGCATTTGTTTACGCTGGTTTTGCCTTCTGGCAATGGTGATGAAGTAATTAATAAAATGATGTCGAGAAGGAGCCTCATTTGAAGACAGAAGATCGTGTCTCCGTTGGTTCTGCTTGTGGTCCTGAAGCGGTATGAATCCCAGTCACTCATCAAAGATCATCCATCATCTCTTTGGCAAAATTATTCAGAATTTTTAAGGTCTGAGCTTAGCAATGAGAATTCACTGCTCGTCTAAGATGGCTACGTGTTGCTCATCATGACTAGAACTCTGGATAAAATGCAAAAAAAAAATTGAAGAAATTGTTCATTGGGGTCGTAGCTCTGAGCTGCTGGGGAGACGGGCGTTAGGAACGGTTTTGGGTAATCGATTTGCCGCACGCGGCTGACGCATACCACTCATTCGCCGTCATTACAGCTCTAGCGTTCTTCATACAGATCGATCGATATGTGATCATTATTCTATGCATAATTCTACTATTACTACCTTTGTTCTTGTGTTTCTNACCTACTGCTACATCCTGCTACATTCCTTCGCGCGCGACGCCCCTCTCACCGCGACGCGACCGTTTCGTTCCTAATGCACCACACCCGAGCTGCTGTACTGCATCTTCCAAGCTACTTGCTAGAATTTTTCTCGGAAATTAGAATTCTCGGAATTCGAACTCGGGTATGCCGATAATGGATTTAATTAAAGTGGTTTTCCTTTGTTGTATTGTTGACAGACCTTCCATTCGCGAATAAAGCGCTGTTTAGAGTATTGAATGGCATTCCATGACAGAACAACAACAGTAAAGACTCCCAATATTTGATTACAACATCAAATACTTCACGACTAACAACTCTTAATGTGTACTTCTGTAGATGCTGGACTATGATTCGTTAAGTTCTCTTTTCAAAATAAACGGAAATTTTGCGATTTCTCAGTTTTCAGTGTTTTTTTTGCCCTGATAGCCTCAATCTTTCTGTTACTTCGAGCAGGAACTGATGAACTTCAGGAATTTGTTGAGTTCGGAGGTTGCATACATTTCGATGACATTTTGCCTCCAATTAGAGGGAGACAAGGTGTTCAAGGAAACATGCAGTAATTACTTTCCTTAGGAGATATATGCCTTTGTCGCTAGTTTTGACATTTCACGCATCGCATCTGAAGCGTTGCTGCCAAATAACAAGATTAAAAGTAGCTTATGCTTCAATGAATCAAAAACAACTATCGAAGATTGAAAATTGCAAAAGCAACAAAAATGAATGATAGGCTTCCAATCGCAGACTTGAATTAGCTTTCCATCGTTGATGAAGCTACTCACGCCGGCCTCATTGAGCACGGCACCATCGTGAGCTCTTAGCTCCTAGTCAGACAGTTCGTTTTTCAGTGTCTCCACGCCGGGATCCCGTTATGATCGCTTTCCATTCATGGGGGGTTTTGTGGGATTTGAATAATGCGCTGCAGCTTTTGGCACGTTCCTAGTGCAATCTTCTACAGGTCATTGCCTTACTATTTAATTTTCCAATTACTCCATTTACTACCTGGGAAGCAAGCTCGACACGCCTTATATTGCTTCCATTCTGCTTCTTCTACCAGCGGATCTGCGCCAAGCTGGTCATTTCAAGTGGTAAGCCAGCTAATATGGTTTTCCTCTTGAGCTTCACACCTGGTAATGCGAGCGAACAGCTACACGACCCTTGCTAATTCACCAGAGAGGCTGGGTTATTATTAGGTGTGTGCATTAATTTCCGCCGCCGAATTCCAAGGGCCGTTGCGCGAACCATGTTAGAGGTTTACCGGTGAAACCCGTCATGTTCTGAAGGTAGGGTATTGGCTACCTACTTAAGGGCAGACAGATCAGTTTTGCCCCAAAATCCCGTTGCTCTCAGACTGATTGGTCATGGGACGTGATAAACCGTTTCTCCGGGGGGCCTTTCCCTTGTTGTTTGATTTCAAGAAAACTGGCATCGAAGCCCACCGGATGCTTCTATGGAGGACAAGCTTCATCTGAACGAGCCTGCTGAGATGGTTTCTCTTCACTCAAGAGCTTGCAACGAATATTGCCAAAAAGTAATGCTGTGCGTGCATTTGGTGGCGGGATCAAAAGGTTGTTGTGTATTATGAGCTGCTGGAACCGAACGAAACTGTTACTGCTGACTGCTACGAACACCAACTTGACAGTTTGTAGGATCCTCTCACCTAAAAGCGGTCGTTAATCGCAAGAAAGTATCATGAGGTACTGTTCCACCACGAACATGCCAGACCTCATGTTGCGAAGAATGTCCTAAAAAAAATTGCAGTTGTTGGACGGGATCAGCTTGTCCAGCCCGCATACTCTACGGATCTTGCTCCTTCTGATTATCTCCTATTCCAGTCCACGCAAGTCAGTTTGGCAGATACACGCTTCCGGAATGCCGAAGAAGTGCGAAAATGGGTGGATAACAGGATTGCCTCAAAAGATGAAGACTTTTGAATGCGGAGTCAACAAGATATCAGAAAGATGGCAAGAAGTTGTAGCTAACGACGGGCAATACATTGGTTAATGTACATTTAGTTTTAATTTTTTAATAAGTACGTTTTTGCACGCGAAAAACGGCGGAATTTAGTGCACACACCTAATATTTTTTTGAATATAATATTCAACCCCACATCATTCCGACTGTTCTTTCCGCATGCCCGTTTATTTTCTAGACGTGCTTTTACTCTTCAAGAATTCTTTTCATTCCTTATTGTATATCTGCTCGCATACATTAATTCCTAATGCCTCTACTCCAATCTGAAGATTCGCGTACATAGTCTATCTCAGGATCGTGGTGGGATGCACCGCATGGACTGTAATCAGTTGATTTGCGCGACGTCATCAAGACGGTATGGGACCGACGCGTAGTTCTAGGATGCAGGAAAGGAAAGGTAGGCTTTTCGGGTGACTTCATAGTCAAAAGTGCCCAAAATTGCCCTCCACTGTCCTAATGCGTCACAACCAGTTGTTTGAACTTCCAACGTGGGTCTCCCTTGTGAATTGCGCAGCTTATACAATACCTTTGTAACTCCTCCGCATTTGGGAGTGGCATACAGCAAGACGCGCCCCGAGGACGCCCTATTTAGGCCGTTTCTCGATCTGACAGTGCCACAGGTGGTGTTCGGATGGGCCACAGACCCATCCAAAGGGGATATCTCAGAAGCCATTTTTATCGTTAGAGGCGCCTGTAATGAGGGAAAAAGCATCAGAGCGGGAAAGATGCTTGCCCCGTTCAAAAAGCTGAAGTGGGAGAGGAATTGATCATTCAATCGATTACTGATTCGTTTCTATTCGGAAGTTTAAGAGGTAGCGTGCCTGCAAAGTTATCCTGTAGCTGAAAGACGCGAAAATGTGTGCAAACACAATTGAACACCTCTTCGCCCTTCTTCTTTCCACTCCTGCGTCCACTTTTACAAAAAGAAAACTACAAAAAAACATGTGAGTCTGTGAGTCTTCAGTCTAACGTTTTGGAAAAAAAAACATGTGAAATGTGAGATTTTCCTCTCTATCCTAACAGGATGCACTGTCTGGTGATAACCTGTGCTAGATGTGTGTAGTCAGATTTGATTTCATAGGACTGTGACTTGTTTTGGAGCTTCAGATTCTGTCAGAAAAAAGTAGTTAGCACTTACAGCTGTATAATATCGCAGTATTGCATGGCCACCAGCTAATTGTTGAATATTTTTGTTAGAAATGATCTTTGAAAAACCGAAGAGATTCGAAGATCCTCTTTACCCATTGTTATAAGATGTTTTCAAACAGTGCTACCTGATTATCTGATGTGTTAACAGCTCAAACTCCTACAGTGAAACCCCGCCCACTTACCGTAATGCTGTTCGAGATTTACTGACTCGAACACATTAGATTTTTCTACTCAACTGTGTTGTTGTTTTGTTTGAGGCCCTTCTTTTTCTCATATTTTTATGAGTTCAACCAATATTCGTGAATAAGTTTCAATACACTTGACCACTTAAGCACTACCGTTCAGCGATGGGGAAAACCGCTACCGTTGGGAAGCTCTCGCAGTCTCAGGTTAAGTAGAACCAGTCCTATATCATTATTATCTTGGCAACTTTGTTCTAGAGCATTCTAGAAGTTTGAAAGCACTGCTTCTAGAAATGGTTGCCTTTTTCATTCCCTGATTTTCAAAAAAACTGTCCATCCCAATACGTCTGCAATGAGACTGGGAAGTGATTTGCGTGGGGTATTCTCCTCGAGATCGATGGCATTCAATATGAGCCAATCGTTCTATTATCTTCTTAATGAGGACAAGTTCGCAGTGCTGCCCGTGCGTTCATTATTAGTGCAAGCCAGTTAACATTTTCAAGTGAACCAGTGGACAAGCAGTGATCCAATTGTTGTTGAAGGATCATTTTGAAGTTATTATCGTGGATACGCTTATAAAAGTACCGCTTACTCATCGATTACAGTAAAACTCGTCGAGATGGACCATTCCACTATGACATACATTCGGTATTGTGTTGTTTCGGAAATTCTAATTTTCAATATCTTGGGCGTTTTTGGTAACATTCAATTGTTATGGACGACATTTCGAAAGAAATCGACTCATTCCAAACCAGGTACTTCTTTTTCATTTGCTCTAGAGAGAGTAGTTAGGGACCTTCAGAGCTGAGAGCGAAAAGAAAAACTGATAGAGGAGCAGCGTCGGCGGCGGTATGGACGCGTACTGAAGAGGTCATAGACTGGGGAATGGAGCTCAAAATTCAAGGGGAATCGACTAATCAAGAAAAAGAAGAGGTGGGCGGAAAAGAGCACGGCCGACCTCGCGGCAGAGGTAGAAGGGAGTGGGCACGACTGACAAGAGCAACAGACCCTGCAAGTTCTAAGCGGCTTCACTCTACGGAGAAAAAGAAGTAGCAGAAGTTTTGTTCTACAAGGCATATTTCCCGAATATCCGCATTATGAGATGCTGAAGGGGAGGGTGACGCTCTGTGAAAAGGCGCTTCCAACCTTTCATATGACTGTGAATTTCGGAGTTAGCTTGCTGGAGGGCTTCGTGAGTGCCGCAAAAATTTTAAAATTGCATTTCCAGTGAGAAACATAATCATTTGCCAAAAAGTGGTTGTTTTTTGTGTCAATTAGAAGCATAGTCACCGTTAGTATACTGTATATAGTCAATGGAGGTAATCTTGGATCATTCATAAACACCTGTCGCCTTTTGTCGCGAATTTCATGATATACAGCTCTCCCCGTTTTTTTCATGTGTCTTAATTTCTGTTTGTTTGTCAGCTGCTTATGCGGTCGTGCGTCATAGAAAGTTATCAAAATCCCTCCTACGAAATTAATATCGCAAGCTGCAGTATAACTGAAATTTCCTCATAAATCACAAAAGTTGTTTTGACTTGGTGATTTGTTAACTGCTGCAGTTCCGTCGCAGTACGAAAATCTCTCAAGGTTAGCGAGAAACGGGCAGGACTGTAGTTTCGCCCGGGACTCGAACCAATGCTTGTACTATGCGGGTACCGTGCTCCCTATCCCTAACCCTACCGAGACCCATCCTATCCTCCCTTCTCAATGATATTCAGGTCATAGCTTGTCAGCCCTCACACGTACAACGAGGTGAACCGGTTGATTGATTTTAGCCTTCGCCTTGAACCATCAAGAAGGAGAAGGCAAGCCTGATCCCGGCAGTGAAAGGGATGAGAGCACCGTGCCCGGATAGCACAAGGACCGGTTCGAGTCCCGTTCGAGGCCGAAGTTCTGCTCATGACTCGCCAATCTTGTTGCACATAATAAGTTTCAAGGAGCTTACACCTGAGGAATGTAGACATTGAAGGATCGAAGCGTAGAAAGTAGAATTGGAGAAAAATCATAGCATCCAAAAATTTGCTCTCAGTATTTGCGTCAAGCATTCATTCAGAATCCTAGGGACGCATAGAATCTTTGAACCTATACAATAACATGCGGTGGACAGTCGATGTACAATCTGGCTATACTGCTCTTATCCTTTTAGACGAGTCTGGTACGAGTTTTGGGACTTCAGCAGGAAGAAAGGCTGGTAGGTCTGTGGGAGTATCGATGCGGGTTTCGATCCCAGGATCATGCATGTTGGGGCAAAAATAGTTGGGGTAAAAAGGTAGCCTAGATTGATGGGTCACAGTGTAAGAGCAGCTATCTTAAGTGGCCCTTTTGAATGCGTTCTTTCAACATTCACCCCAAGTCTTTTAGAAATTTCAGCTGTTCCTAGGTATGAGTCCAACCATTCGTCCATGATGTGCACTACACCACCTCCGTCCTAGTCCCAGATATAAATGATTTTCTTACCAGACTAGTCCCCCTACAACCAACTAAATCACACAGAAGTAGCGAGAAGCTGCGTATGTAGTTTAAACGCTTCTGAATGGAACAGAATGTTTTTTTCGTCTGAAAAGCTACTTTAGGGTACTTGCTCGCTGTCAACGCATTCGTTCACACAATATGTTTATTATTCGAGCTAGTAAATGCTACTTTTCTNCAGTTTTGGGACTTCAGCAGGATGAAAGGCTGGTAGGTCTGTGGGAGTATCGCGTGTTTCGATCTCAGGATCATGCATGTGGAATAATAGTTGTGGTTAAAAGGTAGCCTAGATTGATGGGTCACAGTGTAAGAGCAGCTACCTTAAGTGGCCCTTTTGAATGCGTTCTTTCAACATTCACCCAAGTCTTTTAGAAATTTCAGCTGTTCCCCTTGAGTATGAACCGGACAATTCGTCTGTGATGTGCAAGAGTTGCCACTTCACCACCTCCGTCCTAGACCTAGATATAAATGATTTTCTTAACAGACTAGTCCCTCTACAACCTACTAAATCACACAGAATTAGCGAGAAGCTGCGTATGTAGTTTTAGCGCTTCTATATGGAACAGAATGTTTTTTCTTGTCTGAAAAGCTACTTTAGGGTACTTACTCGCTGTCAACGCATTCGTTCACACAATATGTTTATTATTCGAGCTAGTAAATGCTACTTTTCTGATTACTCATCATCAACCAACCAGACGCTACTGCTATTCCATCATAGCTCCGTATATCTTTGCCGTTACCCTACAAGCTATTATCATTCTTATGAAAGCAGTCGATTTACTGCTCGCCCTTTTATTTCCAATGTGGTGAATTTGACTTTTCACAGTTTCGGTTCTATTTGCTCATTTGCTTTCGTCTTGTAAGTGAGAGTTTTTTCAGGTATCGTATACTGCCTACAAGAGAGTACGTTGTGGTTTTAGTCCTAATAGGCTCGATCTTTGCTGGTGCCCTTGCATTATGGGGCTGGATTGCTCGAGATAATGAGATCATAGCATTCTGCAATCCTCCTTTAGGTATCAGAACCATTTACTCATTTCTTTAGGTAACAAAATTTACTTTCTGTCTAAAGATTCACGTGTAAGAATGGCCGAATCTCACATCGCCTCCTGAGTACTTTCCTAGTTGTTCTTTCCCATACCCCAAGCCTTAACAGCTAGTAGAAACGTCTGCGTTTCTTCTAGCTTTTGGTATGTTGTGTAGCAAGGGTTGCTGGGAATAGTGAGACAGACTATTATTAACGAGTAAGGTTTACTGTTGACAGTATACCGACCTGAACGAACTGAGTTTCAGGCTTGGCCCCACAAGTCAGTCGTTTCTGGTCGATGGCAAATGTTGTCGTCAATTCAGCAGTCGTTGCTGTGTATGTAGTTATTATCGCGTTAGTCCATTTCAATGGTGAGTGTCTCTGAGATCTGAACTATCTGCTAAACCAAATTTACTTTTTTTTCTATTCAGGGAACACCTCTGCTTATCGCGAAAATCGGAAAGTTATTCGGCGTCTCAAGGCCATTGTGATCATTTTCGTCTGTTCTTGGTATATGGCGATATTGGGCGTGAACCTTGGTTATGTGCTTGGATTTTCACCTGAAGGTGTAGCCATATGGCAGAGTAATATGGTGAGTTAGAGTCCGCTATCGACATCCGATAACCTATCAAGGCAGCTCACTAATTCGTAAGTATACTTAGGAATTTGTGAGCTGCCCAGGTATATATTCATGTTGTGTAGTCCGAAATAAAGTGATTTGGCTATTAGATCTTACCTTATTTATCAGATGTTGCTGCAGTTTTCAATTTCCAACAATACTCGATCTCGTGCTTCCTGTTCAGTGGGTTCACAACCGAGTGACTTGATGTCCTTTTTCTTGACCCAGTGCAGCCGCCGTAGACCTTTCGAGTGGCTCTATTACTTGCAAATAGTACTAATCGTTACGGTTGTTCGAGAACACTTTGTGTAGATGCCCTGTCGTATTTCAGCGCTCTGTTACGGAGGTCCCAAGCCATATCTTTATGTACATCAAATTACAATTAAGGCGAAGTTGGTAAAGTGCCAGGTGGCGCACCACAAGCACCGACACAGGCTCAAATCCCGGATCCAGAAAATTAGTACCAAACGCGTCGGAGAAAAAAGCTCTGAGTTCTTCATCGGTCGGGCTCTACATGTATATGTCACATATTTACGCATCCAACATACCAATTCAATATTAAATGGAAGCTGAATGCTGGGTCGCATTCCAAAAACGAGGCTGATCAGCACCAAGGACCTTGTCCTAACCTTCATAATTAAAATTCAGGTATTCTTCGCTCTAGTGTGCTATACGCAAGCCTTCTACGTGTGCATATGGCGTTCTCCAGAATATCGGACTGCATTCATGGAACAGTTACATATGATGGTCTACTGGAAACAAAAGCGGCGAGCACCTACCATAGGCTTTGTAACATTATCGAAAAGTCGTCGACTTACAACGACTATGACCTCAGCCAAATAATACTTCTGTTCTCATTCATTTTTACTGTCTAGAATAAGATTTCTTTGATACCTTCTACACATACCAATTATTCTTACAAGTTCTGATAATTTCTCTACTCTCCTTGTCGTTTTTTGAAATGATTAGGTTCAGTTCTATGGCGTAATGACATCATTTCGAGCCTGAAGGCAGTCGTTTTAATGAAACGCGTCATAAAGTACTGAGAGATAATTAGTACTGTAATATTACAAACTATTAGCACTTTCTATATTTGCACCTCAGTAAATCACATTACCTTGACTGTTTGACCTTAACTCATTAAGCTCATTCACCTCTACCTATTTATAAAAAAATTAATAAAGCATTAATGTCACTGTGCGTACATGTTACGCAGTTTAAGAATTTTCAGACGGTTAGGGGACGAGAATGAAGACAAGGATTGTCACAAAGCTTAGTATAAACACTCTGTCTACAGTATGACGCAATCGTTGAGAATTTCGTCGAGCACTATCGCAGCACAAACAAAGCGTTATCCACCTTATTTTTATGCCTTTCAGGAGTAAAAAATAATTCATGTTTTGGTATACTGAAGTACACTAACATTTTGAGCTGAAAGAAGGGCTATTTGCAGTAGACAACTATTGACGTTGATGTCCGTGCCATGGTAAACAACTTGAAGATTACGGTGTCTGATGAGTTAAGCTTTTCTAGACAGTGTTTTCGTCGGTCAAAATGTTATTTTTTAGAAAGAACCTTCGAAATAATCGGTCTCTGGCACCTTGTTTTTCGTCTAGAATCAAGTTTTTCTATTCTGAAGGCTAGAGAATCTTTTTTATAGGGGCTTCGGTAGGGGATAAGATTGAGTTTATAGCGGCGTACTCACTATGTGTAGATCGTGCAGGGGAGTTGTAATTCCACGGTCTCCTCTCAAATTGTTGGACAGCCTCGTAAATGCTCAGAGCGGTGAGAGGGGAAAGGAGGCACTCGAAGAGGAATGAAGGGATGAAAGGGGTTTTTTCTTATCAGTGGATCATAAAAATTGTTGAAGAGCTGTGAATCGTAGTTTTTCATAACAGAAAGACAAATGTCTTATATCAAATGAAAGCTGCGAAAAATCAGGGCACTACCAGTTGCCTTTGGTCGTCCCATTTCTTTATAACTTGGCTAAAGAGCCTTTTCTCAGTTGATTCGCTGTCATACTGTACAAGGCTGTTGATGTTTACCAAGCGTACCCGAACTGTTAATCAGATAATGGGCTAGTCCAGCACAGCAACCTTTCCCGTACTGCCATTTCGGAGCTCATTCGAAGGTTTGTGAATCGAGAACAACCGTGGCTCCTTGTGGCAATATTTTGACTCATTCGGTCATGAAGTTAATTTTTTAGTTTTCAATCCGATGTAGGAGAGGATACCATGGGTGTGTGCCAAGTCGTGCGTCCGAGGGCGCGCGCGGCAAATTGCGCGGTGAAGTTCGTAGCGAATTTGGACGACTCCGGCGCCT